TTCTACCAATGCATCACTCTATGTATGATGATTAATAATAACATAGACATGTCAGGTGTAAAATGCTGTGAGTATGAAATACTTACACTTGCAGTGCATTCACTTCCTGCTTTGAAAGGGCAAAATGACTGGGATTGCCTTGTCATCAGCAGAGCATTGCTGGGAAATCTCCTCTGTAATCTCATGAGATCTCAGGGAAAGGTATTTTCCTCCCCTGAGATTATGTGCATGGTCACATGTCCTAGTCACATGTCTAGTCACATGTGCCAGAAATCCAAGAAGTAATAGGAGAACTAGTAACCTGCCCTTAGTAAACATGGCCACTGTCAGAAGACTGTGGAAGAAAATAGAAATAGTGTTTGCAAAGAATACAAGGCCGGCAATTATCTAGAAGTTTGTGTTTGTAGATTGTCATTACTAAACATTTCTAAAGGTGTGTTTGTTGTTATTTTAAAGGTATGGGTAAAGGTCCACTTTTTTGTTCACACCAGAGCATTTAATCACGCGTTTTTTTCAGTGCTGAAACACATGAAAATGAAAATTCCCCATATTCCTATGGGGCCGTTAATGCAAATGTGCTTCATCGCGCGTCACAATACAGCTGTGGCTTGAATTACTCCCTGAGCTTAATTCGTGGCACTGATCAGCTCGTTTATGCTCTTTTTTGCACTTTTTTATTAGGGCGTTTCTGCAGCTGAGAATGCTTTTCATTGGACAACTGAAAACGAGCTCTTACATATGAACAGCAAATGCATGTAATACACGCTGGAATGCGCTACAAAAAACGTACAAAAAAAGCACTGAAACGCTGTCGCCCTGCTGTGAATGGGGCTTTACTCCTCCCCAGCTTCATCACCACAACTGATACACAAATGTATTGCAATCAATATGTAGACAAAATGGAAAATTAATGTGAAGGAAAGTAATTGGTGATTTATTCTGTGCAGATTATAAATTGAATACACAACTGGAGGTAGCAGTACTGGGGCCCTATCACAACTGCCCTTATTGTTCTTATACACTTCTAGGTGACATTCAGAAAAAAAACATGCTGGCATTTGCCTGAAATATGGTTATTTTACAGAAGAATACCTTCTGGCAAACAGGTAGATTGTGTTTGAAAATGAATGCATTGCTTGAGCGAATTTACAACATAAAAACACGCATACATTCATATTTTTGCACAGACGAAAACAAAATATCATAGTAAAAAAAAAACCTCTAACAAAAACAACATTGGTATGCATTCAATAAGAAATGTGTGTGGGCAGTATCTCTGTGTTGAGCTGTGTCCTTGATGGGAGGTTACCTCCTACTGCAGTTTATCTTCCACATGCCAAGTGGCTATGACTGAGATGAATGCCAGCAATGTAGTATGTAAAGTGTTTCTGTGTTCAGGCAATATTCTGTTCTGCTGGTCACCTTGAAACTAATGAGTCCCATGGCAAGGCATTACAAGTGCATTACAGTTAAAACTGTTCAAATACAGTAGCCATCCTTTTTGAAGTGGAGTAAGAATAATAGAGTCACACCGGTACCAATGCTAACCTTGAGCCATATTGGGGAATTGTAGAATGTGTATTGCCTACAGCGCACTTTTTGTGAAACGTTGCTAATTGATGAAGAGCAGGAGTTTTCACCAAGCCACTTTAACATTTAAGTCTCCAGCCCTTCTGGAAAATGTCAGACTGCTAGTCAGCATGGGTAACTCTTCCATAACTGTGGGCGGCTATTAATGTGGTTACTTAAAGGAGACCTATGGGGTCAGTGTTTTTCCCCATAGTTCTCCTTAGGGTAACGGAAGGACACCTAACCCTAAGCTACAGCTCGCGGTATACTGAGACGCCGCAGCCGGAGTGGATCCCGACTTAGACGACGGGATCCGACCAAGCTGCGTGAGTGACAGCCGGCTCTGCCTATCTAGAGGCAGAGCCAGCTGTACCCGGCCCCTCCCCCGTCCGTTCCGCCAGTCAGCGCTGGCAGATCGGAGCGGGGAGAGGGGAATCCAGCCCCTCCCCCTGTCACGGCAGAGAGCCGTGACAGGATCGAGAGGTGAGCGAACCCGGTATGTGTTCGCTCACCTCCCGATCTACTGAGCTGACCTGTAACAGTCTCATTGTCACAGGTCGGCTAGAACAATGAGGTGAGTGAAAAGCACTCACCTCATAGTTATCCTTTAACAATAGATACAGTCAACCTAGAGGTCTGAAGATCGCAGAGATTACTGGCAGACATCAGTTTAAAAAAGAACTCTAGGCAAATTGTTTATTAACCCTTGCAGTGGGTCTACCCCCACACTGCAAGGGTTAACTGGTTGTTTTGGTCTATGGCTGATATTAACAAAGTTATACTTACCTGAACCTGTGATCCGACTTGCTCTTAGACAAGTCCCTGGATCGTGTCTCCCCCGCTGCTACAGCAGTCTAAGGTCCCATAAATCATCACGGTCTGTACACAGTGTATAAACCTGAAGACACTGAGGGACATTCCATTTGCAGCAGCAAAGGATGAGACAGGCTCAGGGAGTGCTGTCACAGCCAGCCTGGCTTGGAGAATTGGGTGACTATTTTCAGCCCTAGCCCCACTGCAAGGGTTAATTGACCGTTCAGTATTTTGAAAAACAGCTCAGGAAATGGGCAATCAGAATGATCACTATGACCACACATTAATATCCAAACTTGAACATTTCTCCTGAGTAAAATATTTCTGAAAGGAATGTACAAATATTCCCCAAGCATGCTGGATGTTTTCTGTGAGTAATGCTAATATTTATTAATATAGTATGGAATTCCTTATAGAAAGGATCAGGGACAGATGTAGACTTCCTGCTCCCTAGGCCAACTATATTGTGCCCTCACCCTCGTAAGTCAGTTGACTAGCCTTAGTACAACATTAACACGATCAGATGTCATAACCATACAAAGCAAGACAAGGCCATGGATAGGAAGACTGAAAGAGACAATTTGCCCATTCTGTGTCAAAGCACCTAGAGCCGCCTAGGCTATTGTCCTATCATGCCAGCAGTTCAGTTCTAGTTTTACAGACACAGAGCAGGAGAACAGTAGGTACACAATACACTATTACACCAACAAAGGGACAGCGAGAATAAAGCTGGCTGTACACATGTAGATTTCCATACACAGGTTCATACAAAAAGTTTTCTCAGAACATTCGATAATGCCATCAGAAACCGGACGAATTTTGATTTTGGAATGAATGGAGTTTCCCGAACAAAAACCACAAACATTTTCCATATAGATCTAGAGCTGAGCAATCACAAACCGCTGATCGCTCAGTTCACGGTCTTTGAGTCTGTCAGTCACTGATCCCCGCAGGGATTCCCCCTCCTCTCTCTGTTCCCCCATTCCTCATTGGAGGGACAGACAGGGGAGGGGGCAGATACAGCTGGCTCTACAGAGACAGACCCAGCTGTCAATCAGGCAGCGGGGTGGATCCTGACAATATTGTCAGGATCTTTCCCAGCTGCAGCACGGCTTTGCGCTGTCAGCATATAGCGGGCAGTAGCCCGCTATATGCTGCCTTTGGGTCACAGAAGAACATTTAGAACAGAAGGACAAAAGGACTAAAGCCAAAAAAAAGGTTTTGATTTAGTTCTCTTTTAAGGATCCAGCTGGCTTGTACTGGCAAATAAGGCAGCAGACTGAAACTTGTCAGTTGGCAACATTATGTGTGGAAACCCAGATGCCCCTGGCAGCTCTGCCATCCTAGGCCACGGCTCACATTGACTATGCAAAAATGTAGCCCTATAAATGCTATGGTTTTATTCTATACAAGCACAGGGCATTTCTATGACACATAACATGATCACGGGAATAATGATAAAACAACACCACCACATACTGTTACACTGAAACATAATACAAAGTATATAATTATCATAACATAAACAGTTCTTCAGTTTATAAAACAAAGTACTACGTAAACCTGGACTGAATTCTTCCAATTATAAATAAACACCTTGCAGTGACATCCATTATGTTAGTGACTTCAGAAAGGTAGTGATAAGAAAATATGGAAATCATTACAGAATGATTAGTCACGTGGAACTCGGGCCACAACATTCCTTTAGGTTTTGGCTGAAGTGTTGAGAGGGGAGGATAGACTAGAACCTCTATTGGTGTCTTGGTCTCCACTGAAGAGATTTCACACTATTTAATTTCTTAATAATAGGGAGAACAGCAAGGTTTACCCTGTCACCTATGGTAAACCTTACCATAAGTGGCGGGGACAGCGAAAAAAAAACCCTCAAGAAAATGTTTTTTTTTTTCATAGTTATAATAGGGCCTGCTCTCATCAAAAATATTTTCAAAAATATAGAATATGACATGTTCATTTTTTGCAGGTTTTTTTTTGCATTATGAGGCACATCGAATTCAATTGCAATGCATCAAATTGCATCAAATGTAGGTTTTGATGCATTTTAATGTGTTGGCAACAGGTATTAACTAGACTAGGTCATTGGCTGTTAACCTTATCCACTCCAAATCCTAAATTCAAAAACGCATTGGAAATGTAAGTCAACACACGTTAATAACCCATGTGCATGCACACGGAAAACACACTGTCACATCACAATGTACCTGCACAACCCTACAAAACAAATCCACCTCTACACATATGCATAGATCTAAATGGTAAAATAGCTCCCAAAAACCATACCAGTTGGCCTGACTGCTGTCCCTCCAGATCAATTAGGCCAGTGATTCCCTAATACGTAGTGCTGTGGCTAAAGGGAACACAACTTAGAGAGGCAGATACATTGATTGGGTGGTCAGGCAAAGGCGGCAAATCAATGCCTCTGCATTTCACATTTCCAGTTCCTAAGCTATTATGTTAGGGCAGAAGTATTGTTATATTAGTGGCCTGGACTATTTTGTGGGTTAACAAAACTTTTGTTGTACTTTGGAACAGGTTACATTTAATTGCCATGAGTTATTTTTCCAACTTAGTTACCTATGTTACTATGTTAATGTACTTACCCGGAAATATAACTCGTCTGCCACAACCCACAAGATCTAGCCTGGTTGGTGTGCTCTGGGAAAAGGAGTGTAGCCTCAATGGGAGGAAGCGAAATATTTCATATGGTATGGTGGACTTGCTTCTATTTATTCTTACCTAAAAAGCAAAACAAGAATAAGACTTTTCTCCAATCCTTGGTATTCCAACCATTCCACCCTTTGGACCATAGGCATATTTATATGGCAGCTAGTTAGATATTTAGCAAACATTCTCTGCAGGTGAATCTTCCAGGCGCATGTGTTTTAAATGACAGTGATTGGTTCTCCACCAGAGAATGTTTAGTGAAAGTCACATGTAAATGCTTTATAAATACACCCCAAAGAGTGACATATAAATAATGTTACTGTGTTAAATATTAGTTCACTGGAAAGAACTACATGTTAAATAAAATCAGGAATATAAACAACAAGAAAAAAGAGAAATGTTAGTATTAATCTTTGTTACCTGTGCACGGCAAGATAAGTTAAGTGGGAGAAGAAATTGTAAAACATGAAGCTATTGATAAATCTGCAAAGGACTTTTAGGGATCATTCAATAAAACTATGTAAAGAATTATGTGCAGGAACTGTAGCAACCAATCAGACTTCAGCCGTCATCAGTTTAGAATGTATGTTGTAATATTATTTTTGCTTGTTTATTATGGGATATTTTGCTTTATATGTTGCTCTCTTCCTGATTAAATTACAGAGAAGGAAATACAGTATATTTCAGGAGGGCCCTGTGCAAAGAAACATGCTGCACGTCAGATTTGGCACTCTTATTCTAAGCCATCTATGGTGCCACCTACCCGAAGTCTGTCAGGGCTATTTACTTAAGGGTTAGGAGTTTGGAGAAGGCAGGAGAAGTGAACAATCTAGGACAAGATAGCTGAACTGGAATGCAAGCTTAATTGGAGAATCTTTCCAAATCAGCTATATTGGCCAATATTGTTCACTTCTCCTGTCTTCTCCACACTCTTCAGCCTTTTGTGAATAGCCCTGTGTGTCTATTAGGCACTCTTGGGCCACCTATAGTACATTAGGCAAGCATAGTTGTCTATTTCACCCATATTCTATGGCACCTCTAACATTCATCCCACTTCTCCACCTGCCCTATTGCTCATTTTACTGACATTAATAACTCCACTGGACCTCATACCACAGAATGTAAACATTACATACATTTACAGTGATGATTAGTAGTGGATGGAGTAGTGTCCTTCATCTGGACCACCTGGCTCCCCATATATCTCTTAAATACCTATTGCCTTTTTGAAGCTATGTGCAGCAAAACATGCAGTGCAGGCGCCATATCTTTCCCTGTTAAAAGTAGGATAATCTAGGTCTAGTAATATGCATTTCCTACTGCAGGACATATGTTTGAGGTCAAAATACTACCACCCTACTTGCTATGTTTATATTATATTGTTTGCTGTATATTATAAGTAAACAATATCAATAGATCTCCTTTGAATGTAAGTGTATATGCATTAGATACAGCAATGATGATAACAACCTTCTCTGTTATGTCAAATAAGAATGTATCAGAAATGTAAGCTTGATATCACTGATATAGTGTATAGGTTCAAATCTCTTTTGCGCAACAGTGTGTATTTACAATAGTCAAGGTGCTCATAAAAACAGGGCATACAATGAAGGCTTAGTTTCTACTACTCATACTGATATTCCTACTACTGTTACTACTGGGTGTTACACAATGAAAATGATTTTAATCTTTTGCCACCACTGCTCATTATCTAGATGTAGGGTCTTTTTACACCTATAGTATGAATATTCAGCAACAGATCTACAAAATGTACTTGAAGGAACCCTATGTTAAGCTGAATTTAGTGTTTGCTGCTAGGCTGTAGCCAGCCTGATCTCTGATTGTTATTGTTATCTACGTTTGTCAGGTTTTTCCTAGGCCCAGGACATTGTTTGGTTCTACCTGTTGCTGGGGAGGGTTCTCCACTCTCCAGTGGATAGAGTGAGAAGATACAATGTTGACTGTTATGACCATGTATGTCACTGTGGTCAATCACTAGGAGGTTTATGCCAGTGATATGATATAGGGAAGGGGATACAAATTTGGGGACACCTTCTAGAAGGGTCCTTTCCTTGCAGGCTTTGCCTGGAGAGGATATATGTGTAGTGCAGGGGTGGGGAACCTCTGGCCCTCCAGCTGTGGTGAAAATACAAATCTGATGATTCATCTGCCCCTGGGAGTCATGCCTGTGAGAATCTTGCAATGCCTCATGGAATTTGTAGTTTCACCACAGCTGGAGGTCCAGAGGTTCCCCACCCCTGGCGTAGAGGGATAGAGTAATTGGCTCCCAGGTCTGGGGAGGGTGAGAAGAGTCCAGAATTCCTTTGTCTCCCAGTTCTGTTGTCTGGGGAGGATACAGCTCCAGAACAAAGACACAAGGATTTAAAGTCTATGCTAGTGCCTAGAAATACAGGAAGGTGGCGATTAGGGGGAGCACATTCAGAAGAGTTGTACTCAGTCCATTGTCAATTTTGGCTTAAAGGTTCACTATTACAGGTTTATGGTCTTGGCTTAAAGGACCACTACTAGCCTATTACAGGGGCTGATGATATTCCAAGGTATCTATCTGTCTGGTCTCCCAAGTTCTACATTAGCATGTGATAGAGGCAAATATACTACTGAGTGATGGGTTTTTGCTTCTGTTTTCGGGTATCTTTTACCCCGAGCCATCTATCCTCTGGACACTGAACAAATAACTGTTGTAAAAGGAAGACTGACCAGGAAGACTGACAGAGTGGATGTCTATCATTGGTTCACCACTGGCGGGTTGGTGAGTGTTTGGGACACCTGTAGGCCAGATCACTGGTGGAAAGGCTAGGAGGGCTTGTAAAATCCAGCAGCTCTTTCGGAGGTTATTGCTACATAATATATGAGTTTACCTATGTTCTATTATGCAATTATGTTAGTGCAATCTGTAAAGTTAGGGAGACGCAATTATAATAGCGATTTTCCATGGTGCATATGCACAAAAATGTGGAAAGAAGAAATATGTTTTTTTTTTGCGTTTACCATTTTTTTCAGGGGGCTTGCTTAACAAGTGGGAATGTTACATGTTCTTTTTCATGCTTAGCTGCCATTCATAGATGTGAACTAGTCTCACAGAAATGATTGGAATGTCTACTTAAAATGGATTTTCATCCAGGAAAATATGTACTATTTACTGCAAGATAATGGTGTGAACATAAACATTGTGTGCTCCCTAAACTCTGTCTGTAAGTTTGCTGTGATAAAATAAATTTGTCTTTACATAAGGTGATTTTCATCAGATCTGGCCATGTTTGTATGGATCTGGTGAAACTCACTATGTCTATGTATGGGTAGCAGAAGACGTACGTATCAGAGTGATAATTTCTCTTGAAAACAGCCACCTGGAAGTGTCTGCTTGCCCTCCCCACTGAATGAACAATCTTTCCACATTCATGGAAAGCTTGTACATTCTTGGAAAGATTGTTCGATGAATAGTCAGTTGGAGCATATCTCCACATTCATTGGCCATCTGAAATCTATAGTTAAAGTGACACTAAACATGGGAGCTACATTTAAAAATTGCATTTAAATATCGTGACTATTAACAAAAATGTAGCTTATTTGTGTATCACTCGGCTGTAGATCCTTAAATGTTTTCTGAATTCCTGCTGACACTGTCCTTCCTTCTGGAGGGTGGCTGCATTTGTTTCCCATGGTCGCTGTGTGTGTTGTAAAGTAGTCACCGCTCCAAGATCACTCCCGTGATGGACTACAATCACAATACGAATAAGTAAACTAAACATGATATTTTAGTCCATCACTGGAGAGAGCTTGGAGTGGTGGCTACTTTACAATACACACAGGGACCATGGATGTCAAAAGTAGCCACCCTCCAGAAGGAAGGACAGTGTCAGCACCAATTCAGAGATGATTTCAGGATCTGCAGCCGAGTGATACACAAATAAGGTACAGCATTGTTAATAGTTTGGGTACTTGGATGCATTTTTAGGAGTTTAGTGTCACTTTAGCTTAGACTGGCACAGCACTGCCTGAATTTAATTTAGTGTAAATAAGCAACGTCCCTCTTGGATACGTTGCCTGGCTGTCCCTGGCTTACTGAGTCACTGACACATAACAAGCATCTAGTGAGTGAAACAAGAGGCACTTCAGAATTCCTGATCTGTATGCTTGTTCCAGGTCGTGACAAACAGGCAACTAGCATTTTTTAAAAGGTTTCCTTTCAGCCTTTTCATATGGAAACTACTGAATTTCGCCGTTATACATCTGCTGCTTATGAAGCAGGAAAAATGAGTATTAAGTATGTAACTATAAAAAGCTCCTAATAGTCTAATGGAGGACAGTGAACATGTTACCATATAACTCATTAGATTTTCCAATGCAAGCAGAAAATTAAATGAGACATCTGATAGGCTGTTATGGGCAACAGCAGCATATTCTTTTGACCCAGGTTAAGAGATGAACCTTCCTTTAAATACTCCTTAAGCTCTGTATAACTGCTACAGAGCTTCAGACTATACAAGCTGTTGTATGTATATGACAAATGTAGAATCCATCCTCAAAGTGAACCCGTGACAAACCTGGGAAATTCAACATAAGCACATGATGAAAAAATGCCAAAAAGTAGAAGTTGCCTTTAGTGGAAACTATTTGTTGGAACCATTAGTAGATTCAGAAATATTGACAAGTATATTTACATTCAACTCTCAAATTTTCTTTTATGAGTTGAGTTTAGTACTGCTTAATGAAATAATCTGTTAGGTGAAAGTGACCTCTGCTTATGCTTTTTTCACCACATGCTTAGTTGGTATTTTTCAGGTTTGAGAAAGCTTTACTTTAAACTAGAACCATGGCCAGGCTATGGACATTTAAATATTATGTATTCTTAAAAAGCAGCAAATGGTCCTCACTGACCCCAGTAGCTGCAAGGCCCCATGGAGCAGTTCATTCTTACAGTGAAAAGTTTAATTTTCCCCGAATGAGACACAGAGCAGATGCACAGGAAGATGGGAGAGAGCTGAGTGCTTAGAGCAGCTTAGCCGGACTTTTCTTGTCAAATTTGAGGATTATTACTCCACAGTGTCTGCAGCTACAGAGGTCAGTGAGGGCATGTTTTAAAGTTTATTTTCTGCTTATTAGGAAAATGTAGATCAGTGAATGTCCACATCCTGGCTACAGTTCTACTTAAGCTGACAAGGATACACACATGTAGACTGTAAGAGCAGCCAAGTATGTGTGATGCATCTTTAAAAGCCATATTCTGCCACCACCACCGCAGCTTGGGAAAACTGGATGAATAGTTAATCTCTATAACAAGATGTAACTTTAGTCAACCGCCATGGAATTTGGCAAGCTTCTCTTCCCACCGAAGATAGAGTACAGAAACTGTGAAACTTGGGCGGTTTCACAAAAATGAAAATAAATTAAAAAAAAGATATATTGCTTTATTCATGTCTGATATAATACTATTCATTATCAGCAAGTAAAGCAGAACCCACAATTTACATCCACTCATTCAGATATTCTTAATACGTTTTGGTCCCAGTTATTGTCTAAGGAAATATCCAATCAATATTGTTTCTATGAATTGCATGGCTGTTTAGGGCATGTCACTGGCATTGTATCTAGTGAATTGTAGTGAGTGTATCCCAACCCTGATAAGCAGTGGTTGCTGGACTGTCCTACAGTGTTCTGGCCACAAAATAATTGTAGAGATAACTACTGTAGTAACAGCATTTCTGACCAATGGTATTATGTTTTGTTAAAGGGAATCTGTAAAATATAAGAGATGCCATTGCTAACTTTTGCTTGCTGGTACATATTCTGGTACTATCATGCTTTTCCCATCTTCACTGGCCGGTGAGCCACTGATTTGCTAAGCTGCCATTTTACCCTACAGAATATCATCTGCATACCATTGTTCCCTTCTATCATTCCATTACTTTTATTATAAAATAATATTTTTTCAGAGCCTGAACTATTTACATATTAGTCCTTTAAAGTCACTAAAACTAAATGTAAACCAAATTGTACTGCCTGTTCATGGGCCTGGCAAAATATGTTTTCCAACACTTGACATTAAGGATGGCTTTAAGCCCCACCTCCGCATAAACCTCACTCCTATCTACCCATTTACACCAATGTTTTAGCAGAGAACGTCTGTCGCTTGAAAGTAGATACAGTTGGAGGATTTGCTTCTGCCATAGAATAGAAAGAGCATGCAAAGACAGGAGAGCAACGAAAAGAGGACAGAGCAAGAGGATGGATGTCATTCTTACTTGTGTGTTCTTCATTGGGCTTTGTGCTGGAATAGAGATTCCTGACTTGTTTACATTCATTGACTGCTTTGTCTGATTTACCCATAGGTCATCACAGCTGAAGCTTCTGAAGAGTGTGGAGTGAGGCTTTCTTTTCTCTGAGTCCTTCCTGCATCCAGCAGAGGCCAGCAGGGGTATTGTGGATGCTTTATTGGTTGTGTCGGTGTTTGGGAAAGTGAAAACCAGCATCTCAGAGGTCTTCTTCTTCTGGAGTATTTTCTCTCTTGGCATCTTTATAGCTGTTGTTTGAGTTGGTCTATTATCCTGTTTTCATTAGTATTAAGTAAAAATTGTGTAAGATCAGGTCGTGCTGACACTCACCTTAATGATGTTAAAGTGGAAGTCAAGGGAAGTGTTTTTTTAAATCTGTAGCAAACTTTATGCCTAAACTATAAACCCTACAATCCCTACATAATTTTACATTATTTTTGTTGAAATCAGATCTAAATTTTGTTCCTAACCTCAATAACAATTTTTTTAGGAGCTGTAGTGATGGTCTCAATTCTATCACTTCTGATCCCACCATGGTTTGCAGTGATTATTGTGATTATAAGGACCCATTGTTGTTCTAGTGACATCAATGCCCCTTTATCCCTCTCTCTGCCCATATAGGCTTAATGACAATAGCTCTCTGTGCCATGCCTAGTACCGTAAGTGTTTTGCACAGCAAATCTCTTCCCCATGTCAGTAGAGTACATCACATTACCATTGTGACACTCATGACAGTAGGACCATGTCATTTTATTGTAGAAGACAATTTGTTTAATTAATGGTTTTATTGCATGTAATGGAGTGGGTTTCTCTGTTAAACTATGTCTTTGTTCTGGTGCCTTGGCTTCCACTTTAATTGTAGCATAAATCACTGAGGAAAGACTTATTGATGTACTTTAAAGATTGGCATTGTAAATAAATGTTTACTGTTGAGCACTTTGACCTCGTATTACACATTTCTAGGACTTTATACTGTCTGAGTTGACAGGTAGTGAGGTGTGTGCTTTTGGGGTGCTTCAAACTGTCAGCTTTCATTATAGTGCACACCAAGCTTCAAGGGTCATTGGAGAGCAGAAGAATTTTTGAGATACAGGAATCTGCAGGCACCTTGAAGTTACTACATTGAGAAAACTGCAAACAATAACTTAAATGGGTCATGGTTAGTGCACACATGACCAAAAACACCTGGCAGCTTGAGTTAGACCAGTACTGTCCATCTGCCATGACCATCACTCTCTCCATTTCACTCTCACTCTTCAATCTCTTGATTTACATTGAGGAATAAGGAGAGGTACCTTTTGCAATAAAAAGTGCAAGAATCCAAAGTGTGCTGGGGTAGAATGCATACTTTGGTGAGGATAGCAGTCACAACAGTCCCCAAGCGATTAAGGAATGCAGTGGACTATTCATCTTATTAACATCTACCAAACTTAAATATCGGTTTTGGCTGGACTGGACTACAGCCATAGCAGACCCTGTCACTGCTATAAGGATCAGCACAAATGGGCCCAGTGCAGTCTGACTGATATTTATTTGTTTTAGCTTGGTCGCAGAGTATATCATAACAGCATTATATTCCATAGATTCTGGTATTAGATCAGAACACAACTAGTAAAAATCATCTTAAAATAACAGCTCTTAACAAATAATTTAGAGTAAAATTAATGTTTATATAGTTCATACACTTCTGTTGAATTCGCAGAGTAGTGGAATGGGGGGGGGCCTTTTATGGGTTTTCTACGAGACTCTATGTTCACTTTCTGGGGACCAACCCTATAAAAAAATATCAGTCATTTAAGATTTTGTGGCATGCATCTAGTACTCACTATTGGGAATATAACATGCCCTGCTGCAAAACGTAAAGATAATTCATTGTTAAAATATGGCCAATATTTTGAAAAAATCATTTTATTAACCAAGAGCATTCAAAGGTCCTAATATGTTTACTAATCTAAAACATCATATACCTTTAATTTAAAAAAAGAGGTAAATCTGACAGTTTAAAGCACGTTGTTTCTGCAATGGCAGCATTATATGTAATTATATTACTATGAACAGCATGGAACACATGACCAAAATATTTTCATAAGATACAGATACATGATAATCAAGAAAGAAACCCATGCAGGATCTCTTTAAGGCCTACTCAAAACTTGTTCTGAGTCCTATTCAGGGTAATTTGACTGACTTCTTATGCCACCTACTGGTAGTTTGAACATAAGAATCAAGTTGTGAATTCACCTTGTGTCCTGGTGGATCAGTGTACTGTATACAGTATCATCAAGCCATACCACTGTCATGGGGCTTAGGAGCAAAGGAAACTCAGCACTAAAACCTATGTCTGTTGTATATTTGCTTATCCAGACAGCAATAGCATTGGCAAGTAATTCAGATAAAAATGATGTATGCATTTCAACAACTTGTAACAGATTGTCTTGAAAGAAGATAGCCTGCTGCTGCATCATTTCCTGCTTTATAATGGTACGGTGCTTATAACTGTGAACCATTAAATAGAGTTCCTTATGGGAACAGCTATTAACTGATATACTCCTGAGCACTGTTTGTAATCTAGTTTGCACAGCACTTGTAAACGAAATTCCTAAAATCCATTAAAACAAACAAGATGAGAGCTGTAGGCCTCATTCACACTGGGCAATTTGGGACCCCTGCTGCAGGAATCCCAGATCTCGCATTTAGATGCGGCCGCTGTACCCATTCACGTTAATGACCAGTTAACAGAAGCCTCATCTGTAACCAGCAGTATGCATGTAATCATAGGTGATACAATGACATGTGGTATAGATAACTGTTGCTGGACGCATCTGTCCTGCATGCAAGGACAGTGATCTATTCCAAACCGAATGTAATTGTATCACATAGGATTACCTGCGGACTGCCTCTTACAGTTGCGGACGCCTGGGATTCCTGCTACAGGAATTCATAGGTTCTTGTCACAGGAATCCCAAATTGCCCAGCGTGAATGTAGCTTTAAGCCTACTTACTTTCTGTCTTGTAGACACAACAGGATGTGAGAGGAAACCTCTCTGAAGTGAGACAAATCTACTTTTACTGAGACGAGTACCCCAAATGGAAGATTTCCCCTCTATTCCTGTTCAGGTGACAACTTAAAGCAGAACTACAGCTATAATTATGTATATATATAGATATATATATATAGATATATATATACATACTTATAGTGTGCCAAGCCGGACCAATGTAAACATACTATATACATAATATATTATAGTATATTTTTTTAAAGCTGGAGTTCTACTTTATTTTTTTGCATTTGTTTTTTCCTCCCTTCTCAGTGACAATGATCTCTAGGAAAAAACAGAGAGAGAGTGAATCTGCTTAGCAGAGCAATAAAACCTGGGAGAGGTTCTAACTGGTTTTTTTCGGTATCGAGTACCGATATTTATATTTTGGTACTCGCCGATACCAAGTACTGATAACGGTACTTCCTCTAGCATGGGGCCGGCTTCCCGGGCAATCAAGAAGCTGGGCAGCAGGTAATGATTGCCCGGGAAGCCGGCTCCATGCTGTTTGGCCGACTCCATGCTGATTGGCCGGGAAGCCGGCTTCCTAGCCAATCAGCCAGCCTCCTGGCCAATCAGGAAGCCACAAGGTGGGTCATTACCTACCACCCGGCTTCTTGATTGGCCGGGAAGCCGGCTTCATGCTGTTTGACCAGCTCGATGCTGATTGACAGGGAAGCCGTGTTCCCGCCAATCAGCATCTACCTGGCCAAAGAGCATGAAGCTGGCTTCACAGCCAAACAGGAAGCCAGGCGGCAAGTCATTACCCACCAGCCAACTTCCTGATTGGCTGGGAAGCTGGCTCCATCTTTTCCTGTGGCATTGCCAGTCAGAGGAAATCTCCCTTTAACCGGAAGTTCCAGTATTGGGGGCAAGTATTAGAGCATTTGGTGAGTACATGTACTCCCCCAAATACTTGGTATTGGCACCGATACCAATACTAGTATCGGTATCTATGCATCCCTAGTTCTAACCCTCCTCCTCACTCACTATACACTACTAGAAAATAAAGTTTGCCTTTAGATACATTTATATGGATAGTTTGCTCTACTGTTTACTATGACAGTGGTCATTGAGAATGAAAGTAAAAGAAACATTGCTTTTCCCACAGACACTAATTAGAAAGTAATCCAGTGAGTGCTAAAAGCAATTTACTTCTTCTATCTGATACTTTGGATCATAAAGCCTGGTATATTTTATTATTATTTTTCTTCTACAGAGAATTCTTAGAAAGTAAGAAGTACTTACTTCATCACGTAGTATATCACTTGTTGAAGAAGCAGTATATATGCTAGCCTGAGACTGGCTGCTGATGCCACTGTCCTCCTTTTGTAACTCATTTTCCAAAGAGCTTACTTGCCAAGGCTTAAACCCTGTGGATGCTTCTTTTGAGTCCAAATAACCTTCCAATGGAGAGCAGTTTCCAAGAGAAGACATAGAGGTAGCACTGGCCCTGGAATTACGCAAACTTTTACGTTGATAAGTAGGCCATTGGCTCTGTGGTTTTGGGCTCATGGGTCGACAAGGCATGGAGTTTAGATCAGAACTTAAGAATATGTTAGAATAAGACATAGTGGGTGAATGCTTGCCCATTAAAGACTGTTCATTTGTGTTAACTGTTGAGGAGCTTATAGCCTGATCAAATGAAGTCCTTGCATTTGCCCCACACTTCTGAGGGCTTCTATTATCTACATCATCAGTTCTAAGGTTTTTTGAGTCTGTGGTTGTACCTTTGTCACTGTTAGATTCTGTGCAGTTAATCTCCTTTACCTCAGCAGGAGAGCTACTAAGCAGGTCTGGAACCACTGATGAGTTTTCAGTCCCAGGTTCCAACTTCTCTGTAGAAGGTTTCCTTGGCTGGTTTGGGCTAATGGCATGTGTTGACAAATTTAGCACACTAAGTCTTTTGAGCGAATCTCTTTCCTTGTTTTTTCGTAGTGCTCTCCAAGACATTTGATGAGCTCTGATCTTTTTCTTTTCTTCTTTGCTGTCAGGCTCTGTTTGTTGAGTTACATTTTCTTTTTCTAGATTTTTAAAATCGAAAAGACTGGAGAAAGATTTATGAGCCCAAGACAACCTGTCTTTTAACCCTTTGCCCTCTACATTTTTATTGCTCTTCATGTCATTGCTTTCACACTGTGGCTTGGGTAGGTCATTGTTTTGTGGTACCTCAGTAGGTTGTGGAATACTGACAATTGGCATATTGCATCTGAGTCTAGTGAAATTATCTATATCTATTCTTCCAGGTCCTGAGGCCTTTCTCATACTTCTGTTATACAGAAAATTATTTTCAAATAGTTCATCATCAGATAAGTCTGAGTTCTGGTCCTCTTTGCATACATTTGTCAAATGTCTAGCACTTAAAATTGGGGGCTTAAGGGATTGCAGAGGTTTACATTCTGTGTTGCTTTTTATTTCTGGTGGCTTAACACTATCATTTATCTCTGTGTTATTTTCCAGTTTGACTGGATCAGAGGCCTCTTCTGGTATCTCAGAAACAGGAGACAAAACTGAATGCCCACTGCCTATATGTGCGATTGTGTCATCTTCCAACTTTATGCTGTTCCTAGATTGCTCACACTTTTCACAGTTATCTTCATTTTCAGTGCCATTAGAGTTAATAGAGGTAGTTTTTTCATTCAGATTTGACCTGGCAGCGGAAGACATGTTTGTGTTCTCTGCTGCTCCATTCTTTCCATAAATGGATGCTTGTGTAGGTGACAAAGTGTCCTCCATATTACTTTCTTTATAGAATGAGTCATTACATTCCTTTTCATCATCAAGGTCATCATCTGAGAAACTGAATTCTTGATTATCTGAACCGTCTGAACTTTCTTCACTATACAAAACATGTGGAGGAGCATTTGGTGAAACTATAAGATCCATGCTTGATTGTTCCTCTCTATCATTTGCCTTGGGTAACTCTGTGTCCTTTGTCTCAGATATCACAGTGCTTTTTTCTGCCATACAAGGTCTATTTAGAGAAACAATTAAGTCCACAGTAGACTGTACGTCTAATTGATTTTCCTTATTTATCTCCATGTCTTTTTCTTCAAACATTAAAGCAGTGTAATTTTCCGTACAAGGCCCATCTAGCATCTTATTCCACTGTTGATGATCTTGTTCATCTTGGCTTGTTTGTAATACTTCATGGTCTATGGCAATTGCATGCAAGCCTTTCATATCTATATTTTCTTCAGTAAAATTAATGTCCTCTGTTTTGTTTTTTGTGTTGGCTACATCTTTAGTTATCAGTGCATCTGTGTCTAAATCTCTGTTAGAGACAAACCTGGAACAGTCCTGAGTGAATATTTCACTAATATCGTGTAAAACGTTGGTTTGAGAAGGAAATGTTTCTATACATTGTTCTTCAACACAGCTGATATTGTCAAATTTGTTCCGTTTTGCCTGGGCACCTGTTCTCTGAATAGATATTATAATAAGAGCAGTTTTATTAGAGGAATCAGTAACTGCATTAGTAAGTTCTGATTCTGTTCCTGGTGTTTTATATTTCTCTCCATTCGAATGCTTCAGTGCTTTATCAATGTAATTTGTGTTGTGTTGAGGCACAGTGGGTGTTATTCTAGTCTCTGAAGAATTACATTTATAGGCTACTAATGAGTTTTTGACATTTTGAACAGTATCTTCACATGTATCTGGTTGTGTTGCACCACAAACTGATTCAACACCATCATCCTCTGTGGAACCAACATGTATGGTGTCTTGTGTATCTATAAGAAACGTCTCTTGTTGTGTCCAATGATTGTGAGAGCTGTTATTCCAGTCTTTTGAGGAATGAATGTCCTCTTGATAATTATCCTCCTGAGCTTGAATTTCCTCTTCCGTTGATGTCCTCATTAAAATTCCATTAAATTGATCGAGACATGTAGAATATGTATTCAGATTAAGGTTTTCTGTAGAGAAAGACTTTGTAATTGCACTTGTCTCATTTCTTGTGCTGTTATTGTTATGTTCTATTGGACTTGTGATATGGTAAGAAGTGGGTTTAAAATGAATGTTAGGAAGGCTTTGATGATATTCACTTAAATAGGCAACTGTTAAAGTATCTGATCTTGCACAGGATAGACAGCCTTCTGATAGGGATATGGTGTTCACTCCGTTTTGTTTAGCTGCAGCACTTACAAAACAATTTTGTGTGTCTATCCTTATTGCAATATCATCTTGCAGATCATTTAGGGATAAATGATTGTTTTCTGTATCATCCCTAGCTTTTAGATCTGAGAATAGCAAATTGTTCTTTATAGTCAGTTCTTTTTCTGTTTCTTCTGTTTCTGTGTTGTTTAGATCAGATGTGAGATTTTTTTGAGATAAAAAGAGTTCTGTTTGTGAACAGAAAGATAACTTTGAGTGATCCTTTTGGCTGCATAGAGTGTCTTTTGAGAAATATGTGTTTGAATTAATGCTGTTCTGGATATTGGAATACACAGATTTGTTTTTTTCCAGTAGAAGACAGTCAGATCTTTTGTTCAGTTCATCTGTTGTGTCACTGCACACTGAATCAATGTCCGATACACTTTCAAACACTTCACTTTTTAGTTCAGATGGACTTTCACTGAAGCATGACCTAGTTTCAAAATAATCTTCATCTTGGTCCAGAATGCACCCAGACTCACAATGCTCAGCATCAGGGTCTTCATTAAGTTCTAGTTTATTGTCCGAATCTTCAGTTACATTAGGACTCTGTAATGATAAACACATGTAAGTTCTTGAAATAAATAAAAAAACAGACTACAGAAAATGTAATTATATATTTTAAATACTGCAATATCATAGCGGATGATTATTTAAAATCTACTCAAATTGTAAACATTTAGAAAAAAACTATTGCACAAAATCCTTGACTTTTTCTGTTCTGTGATGTCCATCTGAACTGGCTTACAGAAAAACTTGGCCTGCTGCTAATTCTCCTTTGGAATGTATTACTTGTAGAGCAGCTAGAGATGGCCAAGTTCAGTGTTAGAGAAATTGCCTTACAGTTTAGTATTGTTTTTAGCATGAACTGCACTTTGGTGTAAATAAGCTTTTAAGCAGTAAACTTCATTTTAGGGTACACTCCATATGAACATGAAGCTGTATTTTCTTAAAGTTATAAACGCAATCAATAAAATCTAATATAAGTGTTAACATGCTCATGTAATATCAAAAAGTTGTTTTTAATCTACTCCTGGAGCTTTCATTGAAATAATGCCTGATGATTTTGTCATGAAGATAATTGTTCAGAAACTTCCTGTTATAGCGTGACAACTGTCTCACTATTGTTCTTACTGCTTACTGCTTATTTCTGTCTTATTTAAGTCTGAAAATGTTTATTATTAACATTATACAGGATTTACATAGTGACAACAGGTTGTGCAGTGCTTTACAATACAAGGAAGACATTACAGTTATAATACCAATGAAGACAAGATGAAAAGGAGGGCTTACAATCTAAAAGCTCTAGACAAACTTAGACACAAATATACGAGATAGTTGGAACTTTGTTTCCATTTACATTTTTTATGGGGTAACAGTAAAACCTGACCCTTTTGTTTCATTTGTTTTTTGACCCATGTTTATTATTTCATATTCTGGTTAATATTTGGTGTCAAATGTGTGATCCTGTTGCTGGCTAAGGAGCGAGACATGCAAGCAGCTGAGTTCTCCACTTCTTTGTGTCCTCCATAGCAATCCTGCTATTTGTAGGCAGGATCCCAAGTGTAACATTAGCCTAAGATAAAGGTTTATGATGAAATAAAAATATCTCTTTGTTTTCTCTATTTCCTTCCTAACAATTATTACATTGTATCTGTGTACTTATGACATAGTACACACCTATAGAAAATAAACAGGATGAAGATATGTAGCATACTTCTTTTCTAAAAAAATAAAATGTGAATGGCATAAAGTTCACTCAAAAGTCATATTTGACTTACATCTGCAGCCCATTTGATGGAGTTACTTGCTGGAACACTTCCATCTCGCTTGACAATAACACTTGACAATACGCCCAAAAAACGTCCAAAAAAACGCGCGTTAAACGTGCATACAGGAAACGCCCAGGTGTGAACACAGCCTTAAGGACCTTAGCTGTGAGCAGTTCTGGATTTTCATCTTGGGAGCCTTGTAGACACAGAGCCTTTGCTCCCCAAACCAGCACAGTCCTGTTGAAATCACCTTTTTTACATATTTACAATGTATTTTCTAGGTTTCTAACCTGGCTTATAATATTCAAACATTGTACTAAAGCTAAGTTTTATATATGTCTCAAGTTAAATCCAGTTGTGACTGCAAGGTCTCCTCTTCTTAGGTCCTGATCTTTTTTATTACCCCCATAGAGTTTTAGGTGGAATTTTCAACTTCTGGTGTTCAGTTCTCCATAATATAACTTAAATTGAAGCTGAACTCCCAGTATTAATTTTTATATATACTTACATTGGTCCAGCTTGGCCTAATGTAAATAGGCATATTTTATACCTGAAAGGGCTACAGGGATCCTGTAAAACACTGTAGTAGCCGGCACTACTACAGTGCTTTACAGTGCTCTTCCGGGTCCTGTATTTGGAGCTGTGCTGAGCAACTTTACATCTGCCGTTAAAATTTAGTGGGTTGCCCACTTGATACAACGGCCATTAAATAAACACCTGCTTTTTTTATGAATGAATACTCTGTGTTCTCTGCTTGGACAAGGGATCCGACAAGGGGTGCCGAACCATACCAAGCAGTGCCGAGTCCCACATCAACTTAAGAGCAGACACCTCCCAGCTGAAGAGCTACAAAGACCTGTTTGACTATTTAACTTTCAGTATCTGCAAATAATTAATATGCGTTTTTTAGGTTGGTTGTTCAAAAATTCTTATTTTGTTATATAATGAATTTATTCTCACACAAAACAAACTGATAAAGCTGAACTTCAGGCAAACTGCTAAATACACAGATGAAATACATATACAGGTGAAACTCGAATAATTAGAATATCGTGCAAAAGTAATTGCAGTAAGTGCTGCAAAAGGGGCCCAAACCAAGTACTGAGTACATATGCATGCTTGTACTTTTCAGAGGTCCGATATTGTTCTATGTACAATCCTTGTTTTATTGATTGCATGTAATAATCTACTTTTTTGAGGTTGTGGATTTGGGGTTCTTGGGGTTTTCATGAGCTGTAAGCCATAATCATCACAATTATGACAAATCACGGCTTGAATTATCTTACTTTGCATGTAATGAGTCTATCTCATATATTAGTTTCACCTTTTAAGTTGCATTAGTGAAATAAATGAACTTTGCATGATATTCTAATTATTCGAGTTTCACCTGTAATGGAGCCATTTTACCTGCCAAATGATTTGTATTTCTGTCCATCCCATCCTAAAAATTACACTTTCTATCGCAGCCAAGTGGATGACACCACTTTGTCTGTTACAGTTAAAGTAGGGTATACACAAGTAGATTTTTGAATGAATGTTTGTATAAAAAATCCTGTTGGAACGTTGGACAATGCCATCAGGGACTTGGCGATTGCTGTTTAAAATTCCATTTAGTTTTCGCTTTTCATTTAACATTCAGTTTTGTAATGAATGGAGTTTCCCAAACAAAAAACACATTCACTGTTAGAATTTCATTTGATCGAGAAAAAAATGTCAACATGCTCCTTTGATTTTTTTTTTTCCCACTGATGTGGAAATTGAACGGTAATTTGACCCCATCAACGATCAGAAAGTTGAACAAACGTTCCGAAACCTAATTTGTTGGTTCAAAATCCTAATTCTTAAGGAATGCAGTGGTGTCATCTCCCCACCCCCAGCCTGCTGGCTGTACACTGAAAGAGCAGCAGCAGACTCATGCCATCGTCCATATGCTCTCTTCTCCTCACATCATGTTGCATGTCAGCACATTTGCATGCAGCACACTTGCTTGCCCCC